CGGTTATCGACCACAGCTACTCTGAGGACAGAATCAGTTAAGGGGATTTTAATCTCTCGAGACTCATGGAGGGGATATTTTTTACACATCAGCCTCCCAAAGTACACGCACATCTGGCATCCAATTTTACAAGCAACAATTTATTTTACAGTCTGTTGGTAGCTCAGCCATCAAATTTATTGTAGAGCCACATGGACATGGAAAAGGTCAATGTCGCTGAAAGACAAATTGCACAAGGGAAACACCAAATATACCGGAATATTATTGCCTATTATACCTTTATTTAATTTTTGGTTAATTTTTGCAACACCTAGAAAAATAAAAAGTAGCATGTTGCACATGTTGAACAACCAAATTGAAATTAAACAAAACCTTAATCGAGCTAGATTTCATTGATAACAAATAAATGATGTTGTGTATCATATGTCATGTACATGAATTGGTAACAGTTAGCTACTAGTATTTAATCAGATGCATTTATTGGTCAGAAAAACCATAAATTTACTAGTAACCAAAACCTAAAATGAAAGTACAATAAATGTTGTAGCATGTTGTATGACCAAGCAAAATTAATTGCAGCAGATTCGAATGATAACAAGAAAAAAGATGATGTTGGTACCTGCTCTTGCTCTTCCTCCTCCTGCTCCTCCCTCATCAGCCTCAGAGCCTCCTGCAGGTCAGGATTGCTGGCGAACTCTCCCACCTTAAACCCCCCGCTGCTACTGCTGCTGCTGCTGCGCACCGTTGTCCCCCACTCTAGCACATGGTAGGTGTAGAAGTACACCCCCGTCACTGCCAGCAGCCCCAGGAACATCTTCAGCAGGAAGACCCGGTTGTACCGGCACAGTCTGGCCATTGTTCTCGGCTCCCCCGGCCTCCCCTCCGTCGTCATGGAGAGAGGAGATGCAACAGCTGATGTGGCCAGCCGGCTCTCCGCGATGTGTGCGGCTTACGAGAGAGAGCGAGGTCTCACTACTGAGGGATTGATGCTGCTACAGTACTGAAATTACATATTGTCCAATAATCTACCTGCAAGCTGCCGTGACATCTGAGAGGATGATTCCTGCATGGTCCACCTCCACACTCTGCCTCATCTTTCAATTCAAACGTAAATTTTAGCACTGAGATGAAATTGAGAAGAGAGAGAGATCTGTGAGAGAGTCTATCGTCTGCAG